GCTCAAACTGGAGCTTGATGATGTCGTCTCCAATATGGAACATATTGTCAAGGCTAAGGTAAATTAAGTTTATAAATGAAGCCTTGTAATTATTGTTTTAATATCATCTTATTAAAGATCATTATTTAAAAAAATATTTGTTTTTCCAGAACAATCTGGAGAAAATGTGTAGGTCTCTGGAGGACCAGCTGAATGAATATAAAACAAAAGCAGATGAGGGACAGCGCACCATCAATGATTACACCATGCAGAAAGCTAAGCTTCAAACTGAAAATGGTACAACTTCCTTCCAAMAGAGCATGCTWTTTATGCATTATACAACCTTAATGTTGACTTCCTGATTAAATCAGGTGAACTTACAAGAATGCTGGAGGAAAAAGATTCYCTGGTGTCTCAACTCACCAGAGGAAAACAGTCCTATACGCAACAAATWGAAGATCTCAAGAGACAACTGGAGGARGAAATTAAGGTWACAAACAATTARTAASGCTGAGCCAATATGAACTACATGTTCATGCATGATGCATAWTAATTTGATTTACTTCCTATTCAGGCCAAGAATGCATTAGCYCAYGCTGTGCAGTCTGCTCGTCAYGACTGTGACCTCCTCAGGGAGCAGTATGAGGAGGARCAGGAGGCCAAGGCTGAACTGCAGCGTGGCATGTCCAAGGCCAACACTGAGGTGGCTCAGTGGAGAACCAAGTATGAAACTGATGCCATCCAGAGGACCGAGGAACTGGAAGAAGCAAAGTGAGTCAAACTTGTTTAACTTGATCAACTCTGCACCATATAAAACCATCTAACTGTGGATCAATTCTCTGTAATACAGAAAGAAGCTGGCTCAACGTCTGCAGGAGGCTGAGGAGGCTGTTGAAGCAGTGAATGCTAAATGTTCCTCTCTGGAGAAGACCAAACACAGACTGCAGAATGAGATTGAAGATCTCATGGTGGACGTGGAGAGGTCTAATGCTGCTGCTGCTGCTCTGGACAAGAAGCAAAGAAACTTTGACAAGGTTTAAAATCAGCACCTGCTGAGTGTGTAGAGCTGGTCCAGTGTTACACGAAAAAGACAAAAACCACACATACACTAAATCCTTTCTCTGAAATGTTTCCTCTTTTCTTTTCATTCAGGTCCTGGCAGAGTGGAAACAGAAGTACGAAGAGTCTCAGTCAGAGTTGGAGAGCTCCCAGAAGGAAGCCCGCTCTCTGAGCACGGAGCTCTTCAAACTCAAAAACTCCTATGAAGAGTCTCTTGAACATCTGGAGACCATGAAGAGGGAGAACAAAAACCTTCAAGGTCAGTCACTCATTCTTTGAAAACTCTCATGTATAAAGTACTTACAATGTAAAATTGATCAATATTTAAAATGTGGCTTTTAGAGGAAATTGCTGACCTGACTGAACAAATTGGTGAGGGTGGAAAGAACATTCATGAGCTTGAGAAGATTCGAAAGCAGCTGGAACAAGAAAAGAGTGAGATACAGACCGCTCTGGAGGAAGCTGAGGTGTGTTGAAAAGTCTAATTTTTAAAAATGAAAACATTTTAGCAGTTCAGGATAGTTACCATCTGTTTTAACTGATCTCCCGAAGGCTTCACTGGAGCATGAGGAAGGGAAGATTCTCAGAGTCCAGCTTGAACTGAACCAAATAAAGGCTGAATTTGAGCGTAAGCTGTCTGAGAGAGACGAGGAAATGGAGCAAGCAAAGAGAAACCAGCAGCGAGTCGTGGACACCCTGCAGAGTTCTCTTGAGGCTGAAACTCGCAGCAGGAATGAAGCCCTCCGCCTGAAAAAGAAGATGGAGGGAGACCTGAACGAGATGGAGATCCAGCTGAGCCAAGCCAACAGGCAGGCAGCTGAGGCTCAGAAACAACTCAAAGCTGTTCATGCACATCTAAAGGTTTGCATAAAGTTTACATTTTTAATTTATCTAGTAGAGTCAATCTTTGAGTGTGACACATCTTTCATTAGCTATTTGTTTTTATTAAAGCCAGACTATTGTGTGTGCAAGCTTTYCTTGGTCTGTTCAACTGAATAAAAGTTGTGAAAGCTACTCCAAATTGTTTTTCACAGTAATTTGTTAAAAATTGTTTTGATTTGAAATTCAACTTTTCATGATTTTCCTTAGTCATACCAAGTTAACTAGCTTCAGTAAACACTGTGTACACGTTTTGTCTACTTAAATACCTTAATTTTTATTATACCTCCTCCTCAGGATTCYCAGCTCCAGCTAGATGAGGCTCTRCGAGCCAATGATGATATGAAAGAAAACAATGCTATTGTTGAGAGACGCAACAACCTGCTTCAGGCTGAACTGGAGGAACTGAGAGGTGCTTTAGAGCAAACTGAAAGAAGCCGCAAACTTGCTGAGCAAGAGCTGCTGGATGTTAGTGAGAGGGTTCAGCTGCTGCACTCACAGGTAAGGTCATATTTGCACTAGTTCTTTCAAAATTTTACTGATTCACTGAGAGATTTTTAAGTGTCACCTTTCCCTTGAACAGAACACCAGCTTGCTGAACCAGAAGAAGAAGCTGGAGGCTGATATATCTCAGCTTCAGACTGAGGTGGAGGAGGCAGTGCAGGAGTGCAGAAATGCTGAAGAGAAGGCCAAGAAGGCCATCACTGATGCTGCCATGATGGCAGAGGAGCTGAAGAAAGAGCAGGACACCAGCGCTCACCTGGAGCGCATGAAGAAGAACATGGAGCAAACCATCAAAGACCTGCAGCATCGTCTGGATGAAGCTGAACAGATCGCCATGAAGGGAGGCAAGAAGCAGGTGCAGAAGCTCGAGGCCAGGGTAAGTTTTAATGTCCGAGAATTCAAACCACTCTGATTCTAAAAGTCCATATCAGTCATTTTTTCCCGTTATCAACAGATCAGGGAATTGGAAAATGAAGTGGAGGCTGAACAAAAAAAATCCAGTGATGCTGTCAAGGGAGTACGAAAATATGAGCGGCGCATCAAAGAGCTGACCTATCAGGTGAGTTTTAACCAGTTTACAAAGTAGTAGACATCACACATAAGGAGCTGCAACAAAGTCAGTGGTTTGGTTCCACTTGTTTAAATGAAGGATCATCTGTCTGAATATTGATATTTTATGATTTTTTTTGTTTATTTCCATTTTTAAATCATAGACAGTGCATTAAAAAACACATTATAAAATATGGACTCAACAGTCTTTGTATTTAAACAAAATTGAACACCAGTAATTTTGGATAGATAGTGGTGCTTCCTCCCTGGAAAACTGAACACTAAATGAGGGATTACATTTTTTAATCAAAATTGCTTATCAGTAATAAAGTGTCAAACATTTCTTTCTGGTCCAATACTTAAGACACCTAGGTTTTACTCCAGTTTGTCATATATTTACAGTATAATTTACAAAGTTTTATTCACTGATTCAATTTTTTTCCCCTTTTATGTTTTAGACAGAAGAGGATCGCAAAAATCTTGCTCGCCTACAAGATCTGGTAGACAAGCTGCAGCTGAAGGTCAAATCCTACAAGAAAGCCGCAGAAGAAGCGGTGAGTACTTTGATATTATGATTCACTGCAGGAAGAGCAGTCAAAGCTTTGTGAGCAAGTAGAGCAATGTGGTCAAAAACAACAAACAAAAAAGTCACAAAAATAATTGTATACCAAGAAATCATAATGACAAATCTGTTAGATTTGTCATTTTAGCCAAAAATATGCCTTTCATAATTTTGACTTATTTTTCTTTACAAGTTAGAAGCTAATGGTTTGTTTTGTCTGTTTCACAGGAGGAACAGGCCAATAATAATCTTACCAAGTTCCGCAAGATTCAACATGAGCTTGATGAAGCTGAAGAAAGAGCTGACATCGCTGAGTCTCAGGTCAACAAGCTACGGGCCAAAAGCCGTGATGTCGGGTCAAAGGTCAGTTATAAAAGTCAAATATCTCTTTGTCATTTCTAACATAGTAGTGTTTTTTTTTTTACAATCTTTTAAATTAATTTGAACACTGCATTGTTGAATTAGAACTAGTGCCACAATTTTAAAAAAATGAACCACATGTTCGAACTAAAACATAGGACATAAAATCATAGACACTAAAATACTTGCCTAAATTCTTGTAACATCTAATGTCATACATGGACATTTATTTTATATTTGCAATCTAATATTTGCTTCTTTGTTCTGTTATTTCTTGTTTTATCTTTTTTAATTTCAGAAATCCCACGATGAAGAGTGAAGCACAAGGAATGAACCACTGTCTCTGAGGCACCTGATGTCTTGATTGTGGTGTCTCCTTATGCATGAAGCTTGTTTAGTAGAATAAAATGAATCTGCATCTCAAATGGGGTCTGGACTGTTTATTGCTGTTTTACTTTGTTAGTGGTACATTGGAAATGAAATATAAAATGAGGATAGTCTTAGTAAAGTCAACAACAATATTTTTTATTGCCTTTGAAAATAAATGCTTATGTAGATAAGCATTTTATATATTATAGAAGCTTCATGACTCATGAATTTGTTAGATTCAGTATAATAAAAGTTAAGTATGAATTGAGTAGATGTGTACAAAGTTACTTTCTTAAAAGTAAATATTTAATATTAACTTTATTCTATTTTCTTTATTATGTTGTATTTGGTTATGAGTTTTTCTTAAAAAAATAACTACAGCAGTTTCACATTTTATGTTATATATACGATATACTTATAACGTGTATATATACTGTATTGTATGAGGTCTATTTTGTACTGCAGTTATTGTTTAATTTTCTCCATCAACAATATTCCCCAAGACAAACTTTAAACAATCCAAATACTTACAGGTTTCAGATGTTTTTAAATGTGTCTTAAATGGTAATTAGAAAATTACTGGTAGTTATCTGATAACATTAGGAGCGTTATTATTATTATTATTATTATTATTGTTATTGTTATTATTATTATTATTATTGCAATACTTGTGAGTATCACATCTAAAACATTTCACACAGTGTCAGTTTAGTACTAGGACACGCCCTCCCTTTCATTTTGAATTGGAAGGTATATTCAAATATTTGACTAATACTTTTTATCTTTCAGGGATTCAATCAATAATAAATTATAATATGTACCGGTAATAATAAATCATTTAATTCTTACTGTTCAATTAAACAAACTAAACTAGTATTCCTTCAAGTAATGCTTATTCTGAGTAGAGTGCCAAAGCCTGAAACAAAGATCTTCTTATATGTTAGTATATGTTGAAGATTATCAGCTACTGGCACRTTTTAGCTCAGTATCAGTAAAATTCACTAAGTTGCAGCCATTTTTGTGTTTATTAAGCTAGATTAACCATGGTACCCATCTTAAATAAGGTTGACTGTAAAAATGAAATAGTTGTAGAAGTACATCACATAATCAATTTGTTTCATTAAATCTGTTAAATCTGGTTTATGAGATATTTTGCTAACAGACAGAAATTAACAGACACACATGCACAAATGCAACATGACTGATTCATGGCAGCCGGAAAAACTACGTAACATCATATCTGCTTTTGCTGCCACATTGATTATGTCCAATTCATTTTTATTTAAAACAAGTTGTAACAAATTTAACAGAGCTTAGCAACTACAAGAATTAATGTTATAAAATGTAAAAAATGCATTTTGTTTTTGTATTGCTGTCTTTTAAATATTTAGGAACAGCTCTTGATAGCCAGCTGAGCTTCACAGAAAATACAGAAGTTATCTTTGAGAAATGCTCACAACGACTTTACCTTCTTAGAAGACTGAGCTGTCTGGGTGTCAATGCGCAGWTCATTGAACTTGTGTATAGCACTCACATTGAGAGTGTCTTAACATTTCACCTGTCTGCATGGTCTGGCTGCCTCAACTGCAAATGCAGGAATAAATTAAATAAAATTGTGACAATGGCAAGTAAAATAGTGGGAAAACCTTTAAGGTTTGTGATCCACCTTTTCACTGACAGGACAAGGAGGAAAGCTAAGAAAATTACTGCAGATAGTTCACACTTTCTTTTTAGTCAATTTGAGCCTTTGAAGTCTGGGAGACGATTTATCCCCAATTTAGAGTTCCTCTAGCAAAAACTATTAAAAAAATCCTTTCTCCCAAGTGTCATCACTATTCTAAATGAAACTAAGCGATAGCCTGTGTATCTGACTGAGATGTTGGGTGTGGAGGTATTTTAAATCTTGTATTTTAATTATTTTTTTTTATAAATGTTTTTTATGAAGTTGTTTTATGAATTTTTATAGGTTTTTAGAGTTGTGCTTGATATGTTGTTTTGTATATTTTAGTATATTACATGTCTAATGAGCCAAAGACAAATTTCCACTACAGTGGACATTAGTTTGTTTCTGTTCTGTTCTGTTCTATTCTATTCTATTCTATTCTATTCTATTCTATTCTATTCTATTCTATTCTATTCTACTCTATTCTATTCCATTCTATTCTGTTCTAAATTATTTTACAGCTATGCAATATAATCACACAATCATAAAAATCATAAAAACTGTTAATTATTTGAATGTGTAAACAGACCAGTCAATACAATATAGGAAAACAAACCAAAAAAATGTACTTAAAAAAACATGCTGTGTCCTGAACGACACAAACGTTGATCTTAATCGTTGCATTGGAAAGTTAATTCTTTACAGGCGAACTCTAAAAATGTGCATAATGCACCAAATAGAGCTAAATTTCTTCTACATTTGATATGTCTGTTTCAAACTTTATATTGCAAGATGATGACCTAATACTAAAATGTTAAGCTTCAGACGAGATCATAACTTCGGAAGTGTTGTGCCCAAATCAAAAAAACATATCAACAATGTGAAAAGCTCACCTCTTGTCATGAAATGAGTGTGTGGAGGACTTCTCAGTCTTCTGATTTGTGATGCTTCACAATACCAATCTGTGAGGATTTTAAATTAAAACAGAAAACATTAAGGACATTTTGGCAGAGGGCTCATCTGCTGTCTTTCAAAAAATGCAACATTGCAGATTCTCTTTGTGTTAAATCAAATATTTGAAGAGTATTATATTTTTGAATAAGCTATTATGAAATGTATACACTGGGT